CTTAAGGCAAGGTGACCCCATGTCACCCATACTATTTAATATAGTGGTCGATATGCTCGCCATAATGATTGCCAGAGCAAAGGAAGCAGCGCAGGTCGAAGGGGTTATTCCTAATCTAATCCAGGATGGATTGTCTATCCTCCAATACGCGGATGACACAGTAATTTTTATGAGCCACGATGTCGAAAAGGCGGTAAATATGAAGCTTATGCTTACCACCTTTGAACAACTATCGGGGCTTAAGATTAACTTCCACAAAAGTGAAATATTTTGTTTTGGCAAAGCAAAAGATCATGAAGAGTTTTATTCGCAGCTGTTTGGATGTGTTATTGGAAAATACCCCTTTCGCTACCTTGGTCTTCCCATGAATACAAGGAAGCTAAACAACAAAGATTGGAAGGTAATTGAGGAGAGAATTGAAAAGAGACTTAGTGGATGGAAAGGAAAAATGCTTTCGGTGGGGGGCCGAATGGTTTTGATAAACTCGGTGCTGTCTAGCTTACCGATGTTCATGATGTCTTTTTTCGAACTGCCGAAAGGCGTGTTAGAAAAAATAGACTGCTTTAGATCATGTTTTTACTGGCAAAATGACCAGCACAAAAGGAAATATAGATTGGCCAAATGGGAGATATTATGTCAACCCAAAGACCAGGGTGGTTTTGGCATACAAAACTTGGATATACAAAACAAATGTTTATTAAGTAAAAGGCTCTTCAAACTTTTAAATGAAGATGGCATGTGGCAGGAACTATTAAGGAACAAATACATAAAAGATAAGACTCTAGGGAGTTGTGTTAAGAAACCAACAGATTCTCATTTTTGGAAAAGTTTAATGATTGTCAAGGATGTCTTTATGGACTTTGGCTCGTTCAAAGTGTTAGATGGGTCTCAAACTAGTTCTGGATAGATACTTGGTTGGGAAATAAACTTCTCAAAGACAAATTCCCCTCGTTGTTTAATATAGTAAGAAGAAAACAGAACTCTGTGGCACAGGTTCTTAGTACAATCCCACTAAATATTTCCTTTCGACGAAATTTAGTGGGGGCGAACTTAATGGCTTGGCATAGAATTGTTGCTTCTTTACAAGATATTAACCTACTTGAGCAAAGGGATGTCTTTGTTTGGAGTCTAAATGCATCTGGGAACTTTACAGTCAAGTCCATGTATGTTGCGTTAATTAACAATGGGGTTAGAGTGTCACAAGATTTATGGCAAATTAAAATACCTACAAAAATAAAAAATATTTTTGTGGTACCTAAAAAAAGGTGTAATTTTAACTAAGGACAACTTAGTTAGACGTAACTGGAATGGGGACAGGTAGTGCTGCTTCTGTCACTATCCGGAGACCATACAACATCTCTTTTTAGACTGTGCTTATGCCAAATACTTATGACGTGCTATACATATACTTTTTGGTATTGCGCCCCCCCTGAGATATAAATGACATTTTTATTAGATGGTCAAAGATAGCGAACCAAAAGTATAATTCATTGTTATTAACAGCAGCTTCCGCACTTTGCTGGGCCATTTGGTTAACAAGGAACGAGGTGGTTTTTGACAAATGTAAACCAAAATCTTTCTTGCAGGTACTCTTCAGGGGAACGCACTGGCTTCGACAGTGGGCAAGATTGCAGCGGCATGATGATCAGCGGGATCAGCTGATCCTAGTTGGACAACACCTAGAATCGTCAGCTTCATAGTTTTTTAGTTCAAATGGATAGTTATCTACAAGACGTCTTGGTTATGTTTAGTCTAAACTTTATTTTGTTTCGATTACCAGTGTGGCTGGCGGCAAAGCTGTTGTTTTTAAAGTATGTGTGTGTGCCTTTGGGCGAGACGTTGTAATAATTGGCATGATTCTATCAGTTGATAGATGAAGCCAGGTATAAACTATCCATTATCTTAAAAAAATGAAACCGTTGTTAGAAAGAAAGATTAAAACCACAGGATGGGATGAGAAAACAACCTGTTGAAAAAAATTGACGATGCTTAATGAGTTACTATGTACATACTTCATAACACAATCCGTTTGACAATGTACATACAGCGCTCCTCGCCAGTACACAGCGTTGCGTTGGTCCCCTGGCCAGTCCTGCCTCATGCCAGACATGATTCCCATGAAAATACCTTCTCGAGCAAAAGACCTTTCCTCCCACTTTTGAGTTCTCGATGAGAACACATGGAAGATGCATACTGACGGTGGCCACTCAGATTCTTCAATCTCATGGTCCACTGCATCTGTAGAAGTATGGCGACTCGGCCGGATCGTACGCGAGGTACTCGACTTGGAAGGTACCCTTTATCTCCATCTAAATGGGAGGGGTTGGGCATGGGGGTAAGGGAACCAGCCATCGAGTGGCGGGGTTAAGCACGTAGCGAATCCTGTCGTTGTATCTGCGAACTACCAGCACAAGACCATTGCAGTGGTCGTCTACGTAACCCACCGAATGGGATCCGGCCTCAGGCAGGCAGGACCGTGCGAGACAGGTGCGAATAACTCCGAGATGTAGTAGTTGTAGAAGTTCATGAAGAACCCACCCAGCGTCAAGGGGAGGAGATCCGCCCGCAGCAGGCGGCGGGCGTCGACGACGGCGAGCCACGCCTTGCAGACGCACCTGGAGGCGGTGGAGCACGTCCGCTAGCACGTCGTCGGGCAGCACAGCCAACAGGCCTGTCTTGTCCTCCGCCGCAGCCTCGCCCTGGTCCTGGCGATCCATCGTCGCTCTCTTGGGAATTGGGATCCTTGATCTGCGACTCCGGGCTTTGGATCGGAGTGCGTGTTGGGGGGCTTGGGGTGTGGGGATTGACCGATGGAGCGATGGAGCCGGGAAGAGATTGATTGTGAGGAACGGATCGGAGGGGAGGTGGCAGCGTGCTTCTGCTAGGGTATAAAGAAGATTTATTCCAGGTATATATCGGCACAAGATCGCTCCGAGAAAACATGACGATCGGTCGATATTCATGGTTCACCAGAGTCTGTTTTCAAGGGCGTGTGCGTGTAGGTGTAGCGGTGGCGTTTTCTTCTCCTGATCGGCCACGCGCAAGCCATATTCACGGTTTGGGCCCGTCTGGTCAATCGCAAAGCTTGGAACTGGATTCAGCCTCAGCATTGAGCTTCAACACACATGACATGAGCTGCAACATTAGGTCATCATAAATCGTCAATGTTCATATAAAGTGAAATTATGCAACATTAGGTGCGTCGCAAAGGTAAACATTCATTGATATAAAGTGAAATTATGTATATTACTAGTATTCTTCAAAAAGATAGGAATTTAATTATGCGATAATATCCGGTCAAAGATGTCACGGCGCGGACACAGGCACTGCTATAACCCGGTAGCCCCTGTGCATGCAAGCAGGCTCGTGTGGCTAGGCTGGTGATTGGTTTCTTGTTTGTGGGTTAGATTTAGCTACAGCTTGTCTTACCTGTGCACACAGCACACAGTCTGCACCGCACAAGCTAGGCTGGAGCGAAACTGAGTCCAATCTCGTTTCTGCAGAGCCAGGATGACGAGCGCCTCGTGCATCTCCCTAGCCAGGTCCAAGTCCAAGACTTCCACCAACTAACAAAACATCTAAAACCAGTATGAAGCGAGCCAGGCTGGCCAGGATTCACCCTACCTATCAAGCTTTTGGTGGATGCTCGTCTGGTCATTCGCAGCGCTACATGCTGTAGTCCTGTCCGGAGTTTTCACGCATCATAACTTCCAACCCCTTTGATATAACTCTGCTTCAGTGGTGTAGTTTTTCTGGCTTCAGCTAGTGGCGTAGCTTTCCTCGTAGAGCTGAATCTATTTTTTGGACCGTTTGGCAAAAAACAACTTCTTGTAGTAGAAAAGAATGAAATGCCCGTAAAACACTTTTAAACCTTTTTTATTTTTCTCTTTTCTTTTCTTACCTTATTTGGTCACTCGCGGTCCAACCACATCTCCTCTTCAACCTCCAGTCGTCGTGCGCCAATCCCACCATTGTGTCACGCTTGGGGCCGTGCCTAGGAGACCGCTCGGCCACAGGCCAGTGGCAGGGGCGCACCTCCATGCTAGCACCCTCCTCCGCGCCCACGCCAACCCCCTCCTCCATGCCGGCTATTTCCTTCACACCAATGCCGTCGTCCTTGCCACGGTTCGCTCTCTCGCTGTTGTGCCCCACACGGCCTGGCCCACTTACATCGGGGCAAAAGGGTCCGGACCCATGCTATGTCAAAGGGAGTTGGGGGAGCTGCATTTTCAGCTCCATGCCGCGCAGCTACCTTATGAGAGCGCAATTTCTAGAGCTTTAGCTGAGAAGCAGTGTGCAAAAATTATGTTCGGTAGAAAGGGCTCTCAACAGCTTTAAGAAGTTGCTCTAAAATCTATAACAGACAGGCTCTTCATCACGCATGAGTGTTGATCTGGATCACGTTTGGACAACATTAATGATGTGCTACACCCGTGACCCCCATCCCTGACGCCTGCGCACCAGGAGGGATAGCGGCGCACACATCTTCCTCCTCTTGTCTTCCTCCTCTCTCTCCCTCCGTACCCATCTTCCTCCCCTCGCCCGCCGTCTCGACCACTGCACGGGCCGCCGGCGACCTTGTAGGTGACCTCCCCACCCAACGCCCACCCTTGCTGGACCATCCCGCCCTTCCCGAATCCTAATCGAGGAATTTGCCGGCAACTCTTTGCATCTGCCTCTGCCCCCGCCACCCGCACCGCCCATCCGGTTGTCTCCCACCGCCCGCTCGGCGGTGGAACTGCCGCCGCGCTCGCCGCCCATCAATCCACCACTACCGCCGGGTCGGCTGCCGCCGTTGGGTCCTTCCCTTTCTAATAAGCCCGTCGACCATGGAAGGCTAACCCTAACTGCCGCCACCACTGCCACAGCCTCCTCCTCCTCCACCACCACCCTACCCCGCGGCGACCTCACCCTCGACCGTGCCACCGACTATCCGGCTCAATTGCTTTGCTGCTTCCAGTATGGCGTCACAGATCAAGATCCCAATTTCCAAGAGAGCAATGGATCGCCGGGACCAGGGCGAGGTTACAACAGAGAATATGACGAGCCTGCTGGCGCTACTGCCCGACGACGTGCTAACGGACATATTCCGACGCCTCCCGCCGCGGGGCGTCGCCACGTCCAGGTGTGTCTGCAAGTCTTGGCTCGCCATCGTCGACGCCCACCGCTTGCTGCGGGCGGATCTCCTCCCCTTGTCGTTCGATGGGTTCTTCACGAACTTCTACAACTTCTACATCTCGGAGTTCTTCACACCCCGCTCAGACGTCCCCTCCATCTCCGGCAAGCAGGACTACCTGCCTAAGGCCGGTTCCCTTTCCTGGGGCTACATAGACGGCCATTACAATGGTCTTGTGCTGGTCAACAGCTTCGACGGCAATGGCGACAAGAATCGTTATGTTCTTAATCTGGCAACTCGATGGCTGGCACCCTTGCCCCCATGCCCACCCTCGCCCATGGAGATCAAGGGTACCTTCAAAGTCGAGTACCTCGTGTATGATCCGGCCGAGTCGACAGACTTTGAGTTCGAGGTGGTCTCAATTACCCGTTTTGGTCGGATGTGCAAGCCTGGAGATACACATGACCATGAGATAGAACAATCCGAGTGGACACCATCGGTATGCATCTTAGATGTCTTCTCATCGACAACTGGACAGTGGGAGGAAAGGTCTTTTGCTCGAGAAGGTAATTCTTTCATGGGGACCGTGTCTGGCATGAGGCAGGACTGGCTAAGCGACCAACACAATGATGTGTACTGCCGAGGAGCACTGTATGTACATTCTCAAAATAATTGTGTTATGAGGTACGTACATACTAACTCATTAAGCTTGGCCATTTTTTCCAACATGTTTTTCTCATCCTTTTGTTTTTATCTTTTTCTGACAATGATTTCATATTACAGAATATCTTTGTCGAGTGATAAGTATCACGTGATTAAACCACCACCGGGTATTGAAGTCGAAGACTATCCGGAAATTTATCTAGGGAAGTCATCGAAGGGAATTTATTGTGCATCAATCAAGGGAAGATGCAGAGTTCAAGTTTGGAACCTTGATGAGTCAGGCTGTCAGATGAAGTGGGTACTGATCCATGATAGGGACCTTTCTAAGTGGTTGTTGAAGCATAAGCTTGAGTATCCAATACCATGCTATGGTGCAAAAATCCAAGGACCTTGGGCCTTGCAAGATATTAATTACTATTATGATGGTTACAATAGTGATCATGATATGGAAGCACCAACAGAAGAGAAAATTCAATGGTCCCTACAAGCTTCTGAAGATGAGAAATTTACATGGAGCTCTGATGATGAATATGGATGCTATGGTGGGTACATGGAGATTCTTGGGTTTCATCCATGGAAAGAAATTATCTTCTTGAGTGAATCAATTACACGAGGATTGGCCTATCACTTGAGTAGCTCCAAAGTTGAAGTCCTAGGAAATATATATCCAGCAGGATATGCGAATGAATTAGGAAATGAACAAATCTTAAAATCATCTTTTCCGTACACACCTTGCTGGCTTACACAAACCGCAGACGAGAGGAGTTGAAAAGCTGATGAGAAAATCTCGATATGTTGTATTGCATCTTGTAGAGAGTTCAGGTTATATTCCTTATTTTCAAATTTTTGTACACAAATATGGGTGGCTTTGGGACAATAAGGTTGTATTAATCTTTGGATTTGCCTTTCCTTTTATTTGTGCAATGACGATTATAAATTCTTATTAGTAGTAGGTTTGTCTTATCAGCTACAGTGATCTTGTTTCCTGTTTGAATATTTGAATACTCCCCTATGTGGTTCTTTGAAAATGACATGTGGCATGTCGTGGAAATATTCTCATGTGGTGGGCATATATCGATTTGAATACTTCCCCAACAAAGCAGCACATTGAAATGTACAGCCCGGGACGGAATCTCGTACACTTGGAGAAGCATTCTGCAAGGGGTACAATTATTAAAAGAAGGGGTGATCTGGCGAGTAGAAAATGGAAATTCTCTAGATATATGGTCGGACCCATGGATTCCACTGGGAGTTACCAGTAGACCTGCTACCCCAAGAGGTCCATCATTCCTCACAAAAGTTGCAAATTTAATAAACTCAGTAACTGGTACATGGGACGAAGAGTTGGTGAAGGACACCTTTTGGCAGAGGGATGCAGATATAATTTTATCGATGGCTGCAGATGAAAACAGTGAGGACTGAACAGCATGGCACTTTAATCCAAAAGGGTAATTTTCTGTAAAATCTACATATGAGGTGGCTGTTAAGAAGAGAGAGCACAAAAGAGCAAGAGATGTGTTGGTTAACATAGATGGCCAAGGGAAGGAAACTTTTGATTGGAAAAGAATCTAGAAGCTGCCACATAACAGCTTGGCAGTACACAAGAATATTGCTAGAAGAGTGGTGAAAAGGGAAACAATTTGTCCAATGTGTTGGAGTATAGACGAAGATTGTGGGCACCTATTTTTAAATGCCATGGCGCTAAGGAAGTATGGCGAATGCTGAATTTGGAAGAAATCAGGAAGACTAGCAGAATGTAAATCGGGAAAGGAGACAATTCAGGAAATTTGGAAGATGGATGAGGCTACACAACAGAAAGTGTGGGTTTTGCTTTGGAGATGGCAGTCGGCTAGGAACAAAGTGAATGCTCGGGGGAAAAAAAAGCCCCCCGCTATAAGATTAATATTGATGCATGTTACCAAACCAAAAAAAAGGATCATGTGGATAGGGATTCGTTGCAAGAGATAACAATGGGAATTCATGGAAGGAGGATGTGGCCACTTGGAGCACATCAGAAGCCTTGCAAAGGGTGGCTGAATTGGGAATGACCAGAATTGTGCTTGAGACTGATACGACAAATCTTGAGAAGGGGCTGAACTCTGATGATCTGGACAGGAATGTTGAGGGTAGTCTATTTCGCCAAATAAGAGACACCATGAACCATTCTTTTGTTCAGTGTGTGGTTTGGGAATGTCCGCAATCATGCAACAAAATGGTTAATAGCCTTGATAATAACTTCCAACCCATCCGATACAGCTCTGCTTCAGTGGTGTAGTTTTTTCTAACTTCAGCCAGTGGAGCAGCTTCACTCGTGAAGTTAAAGCTATTTTTAAACCATTTGGCAAAAAAACTTCTCCTTGTAGTAGAAAAGGGCTCGCTAATTTGTTGTGAGAAAAACATTGCACCATGGCTGATAAATTCAAACGCACAGGGTTCGTTGACACTTGACAGGCCAAGCAAGCGATGGAGGTGACCTTGGTGCGATGGGGAAAAGTTTATGCGACGGCCGTACCATGCTTTTATGTGCGACATTGCCTTTTTTTAGATCATGTCCGTCGATACGTGTTTCATTAAGAGAAAAAACAAAGTAATTATAAAGCACTTAGCCTTTGTTTCGCTGAAATTTAGCTTATGTTGATTTGTTGTGAGAGAAAAAATATTATTCGTTTGCTGAAAAGTAGTACTGAAGTATTGCAAGTAGCATATACTGAAGACGTAGTGCAGGCACGGCAAGTGCACCTCAGCGTGCCTTGCCTACCGCTGAGATGTGTTCAGACTACGGCCCCGTTCGGATGGTATGGTTCTGGAGGAATTTGGATGGTTTGGAGGAATTCTGGAGGAATTTGTGACAGAAAAACATTGTTCCGGATGAAAAAAAAGAAGCGGATCAAGTCGGGTTTAAGGGCACGCAAACGGGGCCTACATTTTGCAAACTTTTTGCAACAACACCGATGACCTAGGTTCGCATGAATCTCAGCAGCGCCGCTGTCGATGAAATATGGTCGGCAGTCCACCGAGGGGGGTGCCCGTGGTGGTAGATTATCGGTAAACGGTGCGTATAATCAGGAACCAGATGGTGACGCAAGGCGCAGAGACAGCGATTTAGACAGGTTCGGGCCGTCTGGTCGACGTAATACCCTACGTCATGTGTCTTTGGTGTATTGTATTGAGATGTATACAGATTAACCTGTCCTCTAGGGGACCCTTGTCTCTCCTTATATACTCCGAAGAGACAATGTTACAAGTAAAGTATCCAATTTGGTACTATTACAATATCTAGTACAACTTGTAATCTTTATGTGTACGCCTCGATCTTAAGGGCCGGGCCACCTCGGATGGTGCGGCCCATGTACCATCTTGTGGTACCCGGGAGTATATCTCCCACAGCCGCCAAGTCGGAGAATCCCGCTGAGATCCACTCGTTCCTCTGGTGCACCACCTCCAAGCAGATGTTCACTGGTAATCGCGGCGCTTATCCGAAGAAAGCTAAAAAGTACGGTTCGTTGATTTGTTGTGAGAGAAAAAACATTATTGCTTCGCTGAAAAATACGGTTTATAAGACAAGTGAACATAGGTCTTGAAACCAAGAGAACGTCCTGATGATTTCCACGTGTCCATATTGAAACGCAGAGCCTGTTGCATGAGAGCAAGACCTGAAGCCTGGTTGTTCGGCCGCTAGTTGCCACACGAACAAGGCAGTGTCGCACGAAAAATATGGTGTGGCACCTTCACATAAAAAATTTTCCACGGCGCCTGATTCCTAGTAATTTCCAAAACCTGGATTATGATGTTGGAGTTTAGAGGATGTTTGGTTTAAGAAATGTAGTTCAAGTTAGGAGCCGTTTGGTTTGAAAAATGGAGTAGTCCATCATCTTTTAATTCCTGAGTTCGTTTTTGTTTGATTTGTGAAATAAAATGAGGTAATATATCAATATCACATTCAGTCATTCCCCACAGGTTTAAGCGATAGACTTATGTTGCATCGTCTCATCTGACATAAGATCATTTTTCAAAACAAACATTCCATCGCTGCTACTTTGAAACTACTGTATTGCCCTGAAAACGCTAATCAAAGCCATTTTTTTGTTTATCTGACTAAACCGTATATGATCGTAGGACCAAGTCCATGGCAATATTTGCCCCGTTTGCTTGGCTGATAAGTCATGGATGAAAATACTATTGACTGATTTGTTATGAGAGAAAAATATTGTTCGTTGGCTAAAAAAGTACGGCTTATAAAAAGCGAACAGAACGATTCATTTTTCAGACCATTGTGGATTTTCCTTCATATTCCCAGGCTCCAAAAAGGGCCGTTAAGTTTCCCTATAGCTGGAGGAAGATACACCACAGGAGAACATCTTGCTGATGTCTGCTGCAACTACTTGCATTGGAAACAAATGTATCTTGCAACACTGTTACTCTGTGCTAGTACACATTCCAGCGGCAATAACGTGAATTTATTCAGTAACAAGCTGGAGTCAGCCAATAATATATTTTTTTCCGTAACACAATACAAACCAATAAACATACAACTTTGTCAGAAATAAACATCAACTGGGCACAAGAAACCCAAAATCATCCGGTGTCCTCATTTTAACCAGAAACTCACTTAGCAAATGAGCTAGGATGGAATGCAGCTAACAAAATCCATCAGAAGTACGAAACAGTATCTACATACACAGGTATGGCAACACCCAACGTATTATGACATGTTGAGTTGTTTCTTCGGGCTGAAGGCATCGACCAAACAAATTAAAAAAAAAACTGAAATTTGTAGCTGACAACACAAGTACACAACTGGTGTCTACTCGCAAAACTATCATTTCTCTTGTAGAACTTTGGAAAACACTTAAGAATAAGGATCTGTATTAGGGGCCAGAGACGTATAAAATGTTGGATGTGTGCTAGACAAGCCGCAAGCCAAGAATGTGGGCTGGTTTGGCTTATAAGCCATGGCCGAAAGTAATGTTGGCTGGTTTGGTGTGTGAGAAAAATCTTATTCGTTGGCTGATAAGCCATGGCTTATAAGCCCAGATACGAAGCAAGCTTAACAGGCTGAAGAATAGGCGCAAAAAACAAGAAACCTACCAACAACCTTACATAGAGAGAGGCAACAACAGTCTCCTCTCTCGTTTCTTAGCCAGCTTTCTTTGCCTCAAAATATACAGGCCGGCAGGGAGAAGAATACCGAGTGAGATAATAATAGCACTAAGCCAAAAGTGCCTGAAGTATAGCGTCATGTACGAAGATATTATCAGAAAACAACACAGCAAGCCCCATGATATAGCTCCGATAACGTCACGCCTGCAGAATGTAGAAAGCAGATTCATGTTAAGGTCATTGAAGAAGCAGGTGTAAATGTGCAATCTGCTGAGTAACGACTAGCAGAGAGAAGAAATAGCTTTCCTTCCATCAGTATTGCATGATATGTTACGAGAACTATCAGCTTCCAAACTGACATGAAACATGAAGTGGTATGCTAGCAAGGTTTAGCACTGCGACTCCAGGATCATCAAGAAAGTGCATGTTGTAGAACTTAGGGAAGAGACCATAAGCTCTTTAGAGTGATGTGGTTAAAAATGCAGTGGCAAATAGTAAGTCAAGACAATTTATCAACCAGGGGCAAAACCCACTAGTGCTGTAGTGCTACATTCAGGCAAAATTATGAGATGCAAAAACCAGCACAGTTCGAATCTGTGTACCCCTATTCATTTGCAAAGAGCTGGTCACTGATTAATGTGAGTGGCAGAAGGTGGAATTCACAATTCC